TGTAATTTTGTGGTTTCTTCTCTTTTTCTTAAAGGCTCAACTATTGTTTCTTAATAGGAAATTGGTGTTTTTTAAGTATTTTCTTCTGCTTCAGAAATGGTCAGAATGATCAACGGAGAAAGTTTTTTTGAAAACTATATAATATCATAATAAATAATATGTTTATTATCTTATTATTATTTTTTAAAGTTGAAAAACTATCTTTAAGTAAAGTTTATCTAGATAAAGTAAATTTTAGAGATATATAAGATTCTTAAAGTTTTATTCATGAAGTGTCTACTATATTATTATGAATAATAGTTATATTTTTTTATAAGATTTATATATTGAGATATAAAAGTACTTTAAACTATATAAATTTAACTGTATAAAATTAACTAATTACAAAAAAGTTAAGGCTCAGTGATCTAGTGTAGTAGATAGGTTGTCAGATCACTATGCAAGAGGTCTAGGGTTCAAATCCTACTATTGATAGAATTGAATAATTATCTAGATATCTATATCTAACTTACAGTAACTCTGTTCATTTCTGGAGTTGTAACTCTGTAAATCATATTGCATCAATATTGTTTAGATATTGGAAGTATAACAGAATATTGGAGTTGTATTACACAAATAAATTAAGATAGGATTTATGAGCAGAGGATCTACATAGTAGAAATCTCAAGTTAGATAAAGTAGTACAGATTTTGACAGTCACACTAGTTAACACTTGATCTGGTGAAGATTTCTGAGTACAAAGATATAAATCAGAAAAGATGTGAGTAAGTCTATAACATTGAGTGTTATGGTAACACCAACTTGGCTTGGTAGCTAACTAGATTAGGAGGATCTACTCTGTAAAACATTTAGAAAGACATAGAAGTCTAATCTAGTAGAAGGCCATAGCTGAAACCAGGTTTGTATGAATATCGAATAAGAGTATATGCAAGCTAAATTGGAATATAGCATAGCATAGTTGGGTATCATATCATCTATCTATTAGAGGTGTTGAAGTGAGGACTTATCTGATAAGACTCTAGGCTCATAATAGTAAAGTATATTACATATATCAACTTAGGTATCCCCTAAAGTAGAGTAGCACAGAGTTATAGTTAACTTGATAATACCATACTTGTGAACATGAGATAGAACCAGAGAGTTTAAAATAGATAATCTTTTAAGAAGTTACAGGTATGGCAGCTAGTGTAAAACCTTCAGGTAGACTACTTAAAATAGTTAATCTAAAATTGTATATGTAGCTAGTTGTACTCTCACAATATATATCACATTTCGTAACTATAATAACCTAATAAAAATTAAGCCAATGACATTTGTATCAAAAAAAAAAATTACAAAAAAGTTAGTCTATATATTCACACTATAGATGCATATAGATTATCTCAATTTTATTACTTTATTATTTACAAATTCTTTAAAAATTGATCAAGGATAACTTAGCAACTACTTGACCAAATTCTATAAAAATTTTTTATTTGAATTCTTCAAATCTGTAAAATTTAAACAAAAAAATTTTTATCTAATTTGATTAAGTGATTGTTAAGATATCTTTGATCAAAGTTATTATACCAATTTTAGCATAACTTCTTTGTATAATAGATATTTTAAAATTCTTTAAAACTTTAATCAAAGATATCTCAACAACTATTTAATCAAATTTAATGAAATTTTTTTATTTGAATTCTATAGACTTGTAGAATTTAAATAAAAAAAATTCACAAATTTGGTCAAATAATTGTTAATATATCTTTAATCAAAGTTATAACAATAATTTTAGTATAGCTTCTCTCTATGATAAATGTTTTGAAAATTCTTTACAACTTTGATCAAGAATATCTTGACAACTACTTGATCAAATTCAATAAAAATTTTTTTATTTGAATTCTATAGATCTGTAAAATTCAAATAAAAAAATAATTTCATCAAATTTGATCAAGTAATTACTAAAATATCTTTGATCACAGTTATGACAATAATTTTAGCACAACTTCTCTATATGATAATATTTTGAAAATTCTTTAAAACTTTAATCAAAGATATCTTGACAACTACTTGACCAAATTCGATAAAATTTTTTTATTTAAGATTCTACTGATCTGTAGAATTCAAATAAAAAAAATTTTATTGAATTTGGTTATTGAGATATCTTTGATTACAGTTATAATAATGATTTTAGTACAGCTTCTCTATGTAATAGATGTTTTGAAAATTCTTTAAAACCTTGATTAAGGATATCTTAACAACTACTTGACCAAATTCAATAGAATTTTTTTATTTGGATTCTACAGAACTGTAGAATTCAAATAAAAAAATTTTCATCAAATTTGGTCAAGTAGTTGCCAAGATATCTTTGATCATAGTTATGACAACAATTTTAATACAGCTTCTCTATGTGATAGATATTTTGAAAATTCTTTAAAACTCTTTGATCAAGGATATTTTGACAACTACTTAACCAAATTTGATAAAAAAATTTTTAATTCAATAAAATTTTTTTTATCAAATTTAATCAAGTGGTTGTCGAGTTAAACAATCTATATAATAATTTAGGACAGTGGATTGTCTACCTAATTGGCTAGACAAGATTTCCTTTTTAATATTGCCATATGATACATATCTGTTATTGTTACAAATAATATATATTTCGAATTGCATAATAGATATGTTACGAATTTTTACAAATAATATTTTGAATTAATTGATATCTACGTATATAATGTGTATGAATGCATGCAATCTTATATTATTAAAGTAGATAATTATAGTTTCTTTTATATTTTATATATTATATTTAGACATATTTATCTGTGAATAAGGTTTCTGATTGGATTATAGAGTGTATTCAAATATATATTTTATACATGTTAAATTTATATTAATAATAATTAGTTATTCATGGTTACCTTTACATCAATACTCTATAATTAAATATATCACATGTATATGCATACTTTTGCTAAACTAAACAAAATGAAATAACACAAATATTTTATTATCTCAAAGTATTACTTCTAAATATGAACTAATTGCACTTTGCTTAAATAAACTATATGTTTTTTGCATAAATTAATCTTAAATAAATAGTTTTTGTGTTTGCTGTACTTTATAAGTATTAAATCTACTACTATTTATCAAATCTTTTTATATGTAGGAAATGAACTATGTTATACTGATTCAGATATATTACCTGTATGTATACTTAATTGTATTTCAATACTAAATTATATACTATACGTTGTATAGTTTTCGATAAATATTTTCTTGTAAAAGTATTTGATTGACTTATATGATGAGAATAATGATAAAAAAATTTTTACTACATGCTTCTGTTAATTCTAATTCTTCATTTGATTTAAAGTTATGAAATAAAGTAATAATATTAGAAAATGAGGTTAGAATGCACTGATATTAACTCAAAATTTATAAAATTACATAATTTAGCATATTGAAATTTACCTATATAGCAAACCAATTTATACAGGTTCTAGGCCCATAATTAGTAACACAAGAGTGATAACAAAAAGGTAATAATATATGAATAATAATAGAAATAAATACTATTAAACAAAGATATAAATTAAATAGTAAGAAAAAGAGAGCGGAAATCGTGTTAAAAATATAGTAGAGAAATATTAAAATGATAATTCTCTTCGTCTCATATATTCAGATATTATAAAAGAGCTCCAAACCTTTCTAAACCAAATTATTGATTCAGACTCAAATTAGCTATGTCAAACTTGTTAACTCTTAACTTTATAAAAATTAATAATATTTCTATAAACTAATGTATATTAGGTAAAAAAAAAAAAAAAAAAAACAATTTTATTATTTTTTAAATTATTAATTGACTACTTATTCTAATAAATTTTAGTTTTTAATAAAGCGATTAACAATTATCATTAAAAATGAATATATGATGATGACAAAAAACAACAAATGAGAGAAAAAGAACTAATAATATTATGAATTCTCAAGAGCTACAAAGAATAAGATCAATTGTACAACAAAAGAGAAGAAAATATGAAAGAACTGAAAGAACTAAAAGAATTATTACAGTAAGAAATATAACTATTACTACATAAGAAATTTATTCGCATAATACTATACGATATAATATTGGTCATATGAATGTTGAATGCATTTATTGCAAAGCACTACACTGGCTAGATGAATAGTTAACAAAATCTTCAAGTAAAAACCCTAAATTTGGAAAATGCTACTACAATGGGAAAGTTATTTTTCCTTTGCTTCATCAACCTCCATTTCTTCTAAAGCAACTCTTTGAATCTGAAACTAATGATGCTAAAGAATTTTGTCAAAATATTCGTCAATATAATGCTACATATGTATTTACATCATTAGGTGTTAAAATTAACAAAACTATTCTATAAGGATATTCTCTGTATTGTTTTCGAATATATAGTGAACTCTGTCATTATTCAGGTGCTCTTTTACCTGAAGAAAATATTGAACCAGTATATGCACAGCTGTATATCTATGATTCTGATATTGCTTATCAGATGCGAATAGGACATAATACAAATTTATTACCACAAACAATGCAAAACATACAAACTGTTTTACAAAATAATTACCTGTTTTATCTACTTTACTAACAAGCACATGAAATTCTCTTGCAAGTTCAAGAAAACAATAGGTTAAATACAGATTTATCAGTTTATCTTCATTACAATAGTGTAAATGATAAATATCATTATAATCTTCTGTTAACAAATAAAATAGCTGTTATTTTACTAGATGATAGGTCTTTGCCAGAAGCAATACATGATATTGTTATTCGATTACAAGGTGGCTCTCTTGAATGCATTCATAATAGACATCCTGCTTATTTACTGCTACATTATGTACTTCTTTTTCTGCATGGTGAGCTTGGATAGCACCAAGAATTATGTCAGTTATTATTGGATGCTAAAGGGCAACTATATAATAATCAAAACAATACCCCTCACCTTACACAAATAGATTTTTTTCCTTTCGTATTTTTTCACATCATGCTGAATTTTCAACAATACTACGAGGAGATAAACTATTTCAGGAGTTTATTGTGGATGCGTAGGCTGTAACAGAACAAAATAAATTAAGATATTTACGCATGAACCAAAATATACTTTGTGCTGATGTTTACCAAGGACTTACAGATATAGCAAGTGAAATTGTTAATAGTGAAATTGATCTTAATAACCTTGGACGTTGAATTATTCTTCCTTCAACACATATTAGTAGTATACGTCATATGTTTGAAATATTTCAAGACTTAATGGCTATCACTCGATTTTATAAACACTCAGATATCTTTGGAACTATGACTGCAAATCCAAATTGGCCTGAAGTTATTAATGAATTATTTTCTGGCCAGACATCAGTAGACAGACCTGATCCAATAGCACGTGTATTTAAGTTAAAATGTCAAGCTCTCTTATATGATATTAAAAAAAATAATATTCTTGAAAAAGTAGTAGCTCACGTGTATACTATTGAGTTTCAAAAATACAGTCTTCCATACATATATTTTCTAATATTTCTTTGTCATGATTATAAAATAAAAACACCTGTAGATGTTGACTATATTGTAAGTACGAAATTCTCTAATAATATAGAAGATTCTTTATTTGACACTATATTATATTGTATGGTTCACAGTCTATGTGTTTTCGCAATCCACAAGCTCTATGTATGAAAATGGCAAGTATAAAAAAAACTACTCTAAACAATTTCGTAATGAAACTTCAATAGATGAAAATTGTTATCTGCTCTATAAAAGAAAAGATGATGGATGATCATTTAATATCAGCACAAAAACAGTTAATAATCAAGATATTGTACTATACAACCCAGACCTCAGCTGTAAGTATAATTGTCATATCAATATTGAGATATGTGCATCTGTACGTGCTGTTAAATATATTCATAAATATATTTATAAAGGACATGACCGAACAACTATATGCTTTGGACAAGAAATTGATGAAATTAAACAATACATAGATGCAAGATATATTGGTGTACCAGAGGCTGCATGGCATCTTCTTGGTATAAATATGTATGAAGAAATACCAAGTGTTGTACATCTAGCATTGCATCTTCCAGGAATACATAGAATTATCTTCAATTCAACTATTAATGATGCTACTGATATTCTTATTTGTGCTGATCAACAAAAAACAACTCTCACAGCTTTTTTTGAAACCTGTACAACCCTTGAAATAGCTCATCAATACACTTACCAAGAATTTCTCCAATATTTTGTTTGGAATAAAAATAACAAAAAATGGACATTACGAAAGAATAAGTTTGCAATTAGCAGATTATATTTTGCTGATCTATCTGCTGGAGAACGTTACTACCTTTGGCTTTTACTCACTATTGTTCGTAGTCCACAATCATTTGAACATTTAAAAACAGTCAATAGTGTTCTTCATTCAACATTTAAAGATGCATGTATTGCTTTAGGACTATTGGAAGATGATAGCAAGTGGATTTACTGCCTAGATGAAGCTGTAGTAATGCGTAGTGGTTCTCAACTTAGATCACTTTTTGCTGTAATATTAACATACTCTACTCCAACTCAACCCCATAATTTATAGATGCATTTTCATGCTAATATTTGTAATGATCTTCAATATCGTCTAAATAATGAGTATAATATTTGTGAACCTACAGAAGACCAAATATATGATTTTGGACTATTTCTTCTTGATAAAATCTTATGTGATTCTAATAAATCACTTAACATGTTTCCTCTGATGCCTCTTTGAAAACATAATTGGGGTCATTACTGAGGTAATATTTTTATTTATGAACAATTAAATTGGAACTACAATAAACTTCAAAATATAGCAAACGAATGCATTGCTCTATTAAATTATAAACAACACATTGCATATCAAGATATTCTTAATTCTGTAAATAAACAATTAGGTACCTTATTTTTTCTTAATAGTTCTGCAGGTTGCGGAAAAACCTATGTATATAATACTGTTACTATGAAAATCTGCAGTGAACACAAAATCGTAATATGTGTAGCTTCTTCTGAAATTGCATCTCTTTTACTTAGTGGTGGTAGGACAGCTCATTCGACTTTTAAAATTCCTCTAGATGTTAATGATGACTCTTATTGTTCGATTGATAAAAATTCTGATCTTGCTGATCTAATACGTATTACATCTCTTATTATCTGGGATGAAATTACAATGCAAAATTATTACTGTGCTGATGCAGTCAATTGAACTTTACGAGATATTTGCAATAACCAGAGACCATTCAGAGGAATTACAACTGTGTTTGGTGGTGACTTTCACCAGATATTACCTGTTATTACTAAAGGTTCACAAGAACAAGTTATTGCTGCTTCACTCCAAAAATCACTTTTATGGCAAAACATAAAAATACACACCTTAAAAAAAATATGCGCCTCAGATTAGAATCAGAAGAAACTCAACAATTTATATAATGGCTTTTAAAAGTGAGTTTTTAAAAATACAATACATTAATTTATCTAATATTTAAATTTTTAAGAATTTGTCTAATTATTAACTTGTATCACAGATTGGTAATAGAACTAATATATCTGAATCAGATAATATGATTAGTATTTCAGAAAACATGTTAGTTGGTCCTGACTTAAGATCTCTTATTGATACAACTTATTATGACATCTTTATTGAAAATACATGCACTGATCAATATCTAAGAGACTGGATAATACTCTCATCTCGCAATAATGATGTCGAATACATCAATTCTACTATACTTGACATATTTCCAGGAAACAAATGAACTTATCTGAGCTCAGATAATGCTATTATAGAAAGTAGTTATAATGCTAACAGTTTATACCCCGTTGAATATCTAAATTCTTTAAATCCTGCTGGCATGTCACCCTCAAAACTTACTCTTAAAGTTGGTTGTCCCGTTATTCTTCTTCGCAACCTTGCACCTCACCAAGGTCTCTGTAATGGCTCTCACTTAGTAGTAACAAAACTCGAAGACCATGTAATTGAAGCTCGCATTCTATGTGGTGACCATGCTAGTGAATTAACTTTTATTCTTTGAATTACGTTCACCCCATCTAATTCAGAACTACCTTTTAAATTTACAAGACGTCAATTTCCTATCCATTTAGCCTTTTCTATGACCATAAATAAATCACAAGGTCAATCCATAAAGTATGTAGGATTAGACCTTAGAACACCTGTTTCTCTCATGGCTAACTCTATGTAGCCTTGTCGCGTTGTACTTCCCAACATTCAATCAACATCCTCCTCCTCATAGATAACAATAATAATACTACTCTGAATGTAGTTTATCTGAAAGTATTATTAATTGATAATGATCAAATTAATTGAATCATCCTAAATAAAATTAATTAAAATAAAAAAAATATAAATGTAATCAAATAAAAACATGTTTTAATGAAGAAATTTTTGGTGTCTGAAACTCTGCAGATCAAAATGTTAAAATTACCAGTTATAGTCGATATTCTCAACATACCCAAAATATTATTTATATTAATGATATTAAATATACCCACTGTCTATATTATCTTTGTTATCTCTACTATTTATAGTATCTTCGATATTTTATATAATATTTTGTTATTATTATTTTTTTTTTACTAATAAAAAAAAATATTTTATATAAATGATCCAATTTCACTTAATAAAGAAAACTCTTAGAATTTAGACTTTAAATAATAATACAAATGAAGTAAATTCAGGATAAATATTTTTCTTTGTCATAAATCATTGTTAAATAAACTATTCTTATCTAAATCGTTATTTTATTTTTATTGTCTTGTTCGAATTGTTCTTTTTTAAAATCTCCCGTGATTAGTTCTTAATATCACAAGTTTTTACGTAGCTATAGCAAAAGTTCCAAAATTAGTAATAATAATAAGAAATTACCTTTTTGATCAAATGTCTTAACGTTAATTGTTAATTTTAATTGACCAATTAAGATAGACCCCGTAATCGTCCTAATCATGACTTTTTAAAAATGTGATAATTCAATAAAGAAAATATTCAAAATAAAAATACTAGATAAATCAAAATGAATCCAAAGACCTCAACAATAAGAATTGTATACCCATCTAAATAATCTTAAACTTGATTTAAACTAAACTCTTCTCTAAATCTATACGTGTAATTTATTCAATATATATATGAAGGCTTAGTAAAATTTATGTGGCAATCTAATTTATAAACTTACACGTCTTTAATTATTGATTCGTATGATATCTATGTTACGTGTTAATAACTATATATTAATAATTGCATAATAATTACGTGTTAATAATTATATGTTAATAACTACGTGTTAATAACTACATGTTAATAATTGCATATTAATAATTACATATTAATAATTACGTGTTAACAATTACGTGTTAATAACTATATTACAAATTAATAATTATAGGTTAATAAAGTAAAGTTGAATGATAGCACAATAATACATGTAATCTACAAATAAACATAATTTCTAAAAAAATTATAAATAAATATAAACTATCTCAATAAATGTTTGTTAAAAACCTCCTATCTTTCTATAGTCTTTCTTGTAATATTTAATTCTTGTAATATTTAATACCATATTTCAAAAATTGACAACATTAATATGCCGTGCTTTGCAGATACAATTGTAAAAATTAAATATGTTAAACAAAATACTAAAGAAAAATCTGATTTAATTTCGATCTGGGCTATTGGAGCATACCCGATTGGACAGGAAGACTGTGAAATTGAATTAACATTATTCTTATCAACTAACCTCAAAAAAAGAGATACTGACACACAAGCTATATTCGAAAAAGATGAATTTTACTCTGTTTGTGGAAAAATTATTCCTGGAAAATATAAAGATAAAATAAAACCAAAGGTATTATATAAAAATAAATTATTATGACTATTATATAATACTTATTATCTTATCGAATATATTTTAGATGACTGTTTCATCATCTACACATTTGCAAACTCTCGATAAACTATTA